TAGATGTGAAGGCGACTTGTGATGTGAAGAGGGCTCTTGATGTAAAGGAGGACTCTGATGTAAAAGGCAGGATTCTGATATGAAGGGGGCCCCTGATTTGAAGGGGGGGGGGGGAAAACATTGTTTTTGTGGATTTCTTTCCCCCCCCCACCCTTAAAATCCATCCCAGACCTCTATCTTGGATAAGAGTCTGACATGGATTTTGTAGGGGTCACATGTCGTCTTTTTAACAGTTTTAGACTTGGGTGCCTTGAGATTTTGCATACTTTTAGAAGGTGCTGATCTCGAGCAACAGTCTGGTTCTTCAAAAAGCTCCAGTTTCTAACCATAAAAAGCTACCCTTGCTCTTCAGTCCGGTGATTTTACTTGGGTTGAGATGGTCATCAGTGCGCTGGAGGCAAGGCAAAGCATTTCCTTGTCTCTTGCCCCCAGTGATCAGATGGCAACATTGTGTTTGAAATACACGTTGTATAATTCACATACAGAGATGTTTATACATTTTAGATCACAATGTATATATACTTTTACTGGACTTGATACAAACTTGTGCCGCATCCTTTTATATACTCTCCAGGAACCCTAGGGATACCCCAGCTGATAAAGCTCTGTCTATAATAACTTAATTCCTCCCCCATCAGTTGATCCAGCGCCCCACCAATACAGTTTTGAAGCAAAACTGCTATTAGGAATGGTTTACTTTGTGGGGGGGGGTGGAGGGGGCAGCAATATTGGGATTCAAATTACTTACAAGCTAAAATGCGGAAATTGCCTTCAAGAATAACTGCGCCACCTGCTGTTGAAAAGTAGAACTGCATACATTATATGGTTCAATGATTCCACCTGTCCCTAAATGTTTGTTGGTAGTTTCTGTATTCTGTAGTATAAGCTCAAATGTTAAGTCTTCTTCTTTTCTCTTTTAAGAGGATTTCAAATCTTCTAAACCGACCATATTCTCTCCATAGGTGAACACGTGCTGTCGTTTGCTGCTTGCGTTGGCAGTGAGGCTGTCGTACGTTTGTTGATAGAGAATGGAGCCAATATTCGAGCTCAGGACTCGTATGGTAAGCAGCAGTACTGTAATGTTGTCACCTTAACATGAATTCCTGTTTTGATTGACCTCCCATTGAATGTGAAGTTTTGATTGGATTAGGGTGTAGGACTGAGGAGTAAGTCCAGACAATGTTTTATGCTGTCAAGGAGACACTACAACTGTGTCTTAATGTCCATACATTTCTTATAAAACACATATAGCCAGGTTATGTATTGCTTCTATGGTGTCTTTTGAACATGATTGTGTGCCCTACAACTTCCCTCAAGCAGTATGACTCGCTGTAGACTGTGGTCTTAGAACAGGAGTGTGAATTTAGACTCCAAGGAGCCGAGCTGGGAATCGTAAAACAATCTTCAAAGTCACAGACATTGGGTTAGTCAAACTTGGGTTGCACTGCAGATATCAGTCTGGCCTAGTGTCCTTGGTTCTGTCTTGTTCCCAATTAAAAGTATAATTGCTGGCTGGGGTGAAATAACTGAATGTGTTCCACCTCTTCCACTGCCTGACTCTCCCTATTGTCACAGAGCCAACACATGGCAAAAAAAGGCCAACAGATAGGGTAGGCTAAGCTCTGATTTGAATAGGATTTCAGCTGTCTATATCCTTGCATCCAATTGTTTGCATGGTCGCTTTTTCTACTTACTACACATATGCTCCAGACTTGGGACAGGCCTATTTAAAGGCCAACCAACAAAGCAAAGCTCCAACCAAAGTGCCTTTTCTTTTGTTTAATGTTTTCAGGAAAGTGCAATGTTGTATTGCTGTCTGCACCCCAGTGCCACCACTTCTATACCAGTGTCACAGGCATGCAAAATTAAAACAAGCTGGCCAGGGTTTTAAACCTCACCCATGCTATAGAAAACTGGAAGAAATGTTGGATGCTCACAAGCCTATTCCACTGGGTCACTCTCTTTGAAAGCTGGCCAGGGGATTATCCTTTGCATCAACCACCAGTAAATCCAAAGGAGAAAAAGCTTGTGGCACTCATTAAAATTCAACGCTAGTGTAACTTTTTTATTCTGGACAAGCAGACACAAAGTGCCCACCTGAGCCTCCTAGATGAAGAGCTTCACAGAATTAAAAGGCAACTATTTTAATAGGTGGAACCACCTGCTCTGACAATGTGCACTCATCTGTACAGTATATGTAAAGTTCAAGCTGTGCCACCACCCCACTTTCTTTGACTCTGCTAGAAGGTCCCCCAAGCAGGAAGCATTTAAAGAGTGGCCTGAGCCTAGGTGCTGCTTGGTATACCTCTGTATTCAACACCAATCGAAACCCAGCTTTATAGATGCCCCCTATGACAATTAGCTGACCCTAAAACTTCCACTGAAATGGAGGAACCATGAAGGGCAACCACTGTGCTGCCTTTTTATTCGGGAAGCAAACTTATGTATTGGTCATACATGGCCGACTACCTTGACCTATGTGATTTGTAAACTACATGCGAATGTTAACACGCAAATGTTGAAAAGACTGAGGATACTTTTTCATGGTGACCATTATCCATTTCCTAGGAAATACAGTTCTCCACATCCTCACCCTGCAGCCCAACCAGGTCATTTCCTGCATGATTTATGACCTCATTCTGTCCTATGATGATAAACGAAACAACGTTGACCTGCAGATGATTCCAAATTTTATGGGCCTCACACCCTTCAAACTGTCAGCATCGGAGGGAAACGTTGAGGTGAGTCAACTTTTGGGGTCTCGTTGACTACCATAAATTTGGAGAGCTGACCGTCTTGATTTCCAAACAGCAAAGTGATGATCTGCTCCATTCTCACAGCATTTCAAGCTGGTGATTATAAAACTTGGTGAAGGGTAAAATATAGCTTCAGACAAGATGTATCTAAACCCTAAAACAAAAAGAGCAGCTTACCAGCCCTTAGATGTGGTGGCTACATTGGTTTTCTTTTGAAGTTTTTTTTTTTCTTGTTTTTTTTACCTGATGATGATTTTGTCAGTAACTCACTTCCTGTTCTAGGGTGACAGCTCTCACTCATTGCACTGTATCCATGGAGGAACAGCATTGTAACCCTGGGACAGGACTACAGAACACCTCATCTCCATTACTTAGGTTTGAGATTCCAGTTCATTGCATAGGAAGTTACAAGGGCATTGGGTTTCTGGAAGGATCAACAGGTATTTTTCTGTACTTGCAGAAAATGTATTTAGCCTAAAGAAAGATAACTAATGCGGCCACTTCATCTAAGGACTTGTAAGAGGCAATATATTAAATTTGTGCTCTAGGGTATACATTAAAGTCCATACCTGTGGTGAGTTCCTGGGTCTGGGCCCATCTCAATGGGTTCC